AAAATGAGAGAAGGCAGAAAGGTAAAAATGCTATGAGTAGCTATTTTATAAAGGGCATGTGTGGGGAGAACATCCACAGGGAGAAGTCTAAATTATTCCATTTGGAAAGATCCTGGAGAGGATTGGGTAATCAACCCAGCTGTCTCTTAGCAGAACTGATTTCGTTATTGTGAAAAACCATCCTCCACACATAGGACAAAAGCTTTCTCCCTGAGTGGATCCAGCAAAGAAGGCTCCTCCATGTACTTTGGCAACTCGTCCAGCTTGTGATTGGTCTTAGACGTGAGCAGCACAGGCTCCCCCTTCCCCCTGCACTCCCTCGCCTTAAATAACCCAAATTTTCCTTTCTGAAGGAACTTGGGCTTAATGCTTCTGGCTTGGTCTAAGCTGACTAATGGGAATACTGTCTCCTTTGCATTATCTTCTTAATGTATTTATAGACCATTATAATGACTCCCTGCAGCCTTCCTCCTTCCAGTCTAAACTTTCTCAGCACTTTTGTTCTTGCCTCTGCATATTTTTCTGTAGCACCTTAATCTTTTTTCGCTGTGCTCCTATGCACTCATCTGTCTACCAGTGTATGGATCCCCCAACCAGATGGAAGTACCAGTGAAATCCTAAGCATGTCAGAGTGCCTACAAACAGTGAACATTTAAGGACAAGAAGAGGACAAGTACAGGAAAAGATTCCAGAGCAGCAATACCAATAGGTCTTTCTGCAGTAATGGAAAAGCCCTGAATCTAACCCATAGGCACATGTGGCTACTGAGAATTTGAATTTTGGCTATAGCAACCGAAGAACCAAATTTTTAATCTGATTTAAGTGTGATTCATTTAAATTTAAATAACCATCAATGGCAGATGGCTGGGGCAGCAGTTCTAGTGGACAGGTCATCGAGAAGGGTGGAGCCAGCAGGGATGCCTCTCAACATTGTGTAACCAGCTAACAATGAGGTGGTCAGTAAGGTCAAAGAAGACTAAGCCAAACCCCAGAGCAAAGGCAGGGAACGGAACCAGCTCTAGGAAGATGAATAACCATTTGGCCAAACCAGCTGTTTGGAACTGTGTCATCTAGACCACTGGTCTTCAGCTGAGGTCTGTGAGCCCTTGAAGATGAGTAAGATGATCCACTGGTGTAGAAGGAAAGTAACAGAGGTTCTACTTATGCTTTTATCTTTTAAAATTAAAAAAAAGACTATACCTTATTAACAATTGCAAAATGATGATAGTACTTGTAAGTAATTTATAAATTAAAATATATAGGAGGTAAATTTAAAACTATTCTAAGACAAAAAAAATTTTTTAAATATGTATATGAAGGGGAGAAACTGAAAGTTTCAAGAATCTTTTACTGACCAGCAAGAACCACTTCAAGACCACCGAGCTAGTCACCAGCCTCTCGTGGGAACTGTTGACATTTTATATGCAGCATCTCCATGTCCTTAAAGAAACCTACAGTGTTGCCACTGCACTGTTCGTTTAATTCACATCATTTATTTCAGTGGTTCTCAAACCCCCGTGTACATGAAAATCACCTGCGGGGTTTGTAAAATCACAGATTGCAGAGGCCCATCCAGAGCCTGCTGGATCCAAACATCTGGAAATGGAGCCTGGGAACCTGCATGTGTTTTAAAATGTCACCAGAGATTCTGATTCCTACAGTGGCTAGCCCACACATGAAGAGAGACGTGTCTGAATTACAGCAGTATTTTACTCTACCAAAAAGTTGGCATCTGAATGAGGAATGGGGGAACACTCTGATTTATAAGAAGGGAAGATCTTAACTGGCAAATGAATTTGCATCCAGTTACTTTATATGCTGTTTGCCACCAACGGATCACGGGCAGATGCAGTCAAACCGTATTTCACCATGTCCCTGAAGTGGATGAAATACAAAACATGACTTTCAACCCATCATATGAGTCATGACAGAATTAACTGGATGGTTTCTGGCAATGTCATACATTCAAAACAAGTTTCAAACCTTTTGATTCATCCCCTCAGACTTCACCCCTTACCCTAGAATCAGGCAAATGACAATAACAAAGTGAAGGGAAGATTTACTTGTCAATATGCAAGCAAACCCATCAGAAAATCCATTTTCTGAACCCAAAATGTTAACCTCACATTTGCATTATTATCTGCTAGGAGAAGACTAACTCATGGCAACCCCACCACAGATACTGAAGTTACTAGATATAGGAGCTCTTTCAGAGACAGTTGATCTAACATGTAGGAACTGTTAGAATTACAGTGGTACAATTGTGTTACTTAAAAAGAACTGCTTTATTAAGCCCTGCTCCCTTGGCAAAAGTGCAATTGTGAATATGCTTCAGCTTGTAAAAGGCTGATTTTGAACTTCATTTGCAAACATAGTCCTGGCTGGTTATCTCCATACTGTGACAGGGAGCTGGGGTGTCACAGTATGGCTCCCTGTGCCATGTTGGACCCACAGGTGAATAGATATTCGTGGATTCCTTTTAGGTCCTAAGAAGGGGCCTCAGGATTGGAAGAGACTCTGATCTTGCTCTGATCCAAACCCAGTTAGCGTCCCGTGGAATGTAATTTGTTCACCTTGCAACTTAGTTTACCCTAAAGAAAGCTGCAACTCTTTGAATATTCACCAAATATTTTCTTATGAGCAGCTAATTGGCACAACAAAATTAAAACATTTGACCAGTTCTTACTTCAGAATGAGTTCTTTACGTTTCTGAGCCAGGTATTTCTTCTTTAAATTCATCAGTTCATTGCCAAGTTTCTCGATCTCATACTTATATTCTTGGCTCTGTGACTCATACATATTCAATTCTGAAGACAAAACCTAACGTGGCAAATAAAGCAGCATTAGTCAAAATATCCAAAATGAGACATCATCCTTTTCTGAAAAACCTTTTTAATCCGATACCATTTACCTCAGTGGAGCTAAAGCACAAAACAATGCCCAGGTATAACAGGGAATCTGCATGCTTCTCAGCGCAAGGCCCGTGACGGTGTCAACACCTGGCTGAGGGCTTAAGACTCATAATCAGGTGACAAACTGAAATGAAATGTCATTCCCCTGATTAAAAGGAGAACTCTCCAGAAACATTCAAACTGGCTCAGATGGATAGTATGTGTTTCAAGGAATATTGTGATTAGGGACAGAAAAACTCCCAGATACACACTCTAAACCTGCTTTTAAAACCTTAAATAAAAGAAAAAGAAGCTCAAGAAAAAATATCACTTCGGGAGTGTGATTCATTAGAGGATCATGTAAAAATTATTCTTTGGTGATTGAACCCGAGGGTGCCTAACCACTGAGTCACATTCCTTTTATATTTCATTTAGAGACAGGGTCTCCCTGAGTTGCTTAGGACCTCACTAAGTTGCTGAAGCTGGCTTTGAATCCTCCTGCCTCAGTCTCCCAAGCCATGGGATTACAGGCACGTGCCACTGTGCCCAGCAAGAACTATTCTAAAATCATCCTGACACTGCCAACTAAGCATTCAGTCTATGTGTTTGCCAAGGTCATTTTGCCAAATGTTTATGACCTCTTTACTGGGTCATAGACAGTATGTTATTGATCTGTCCCCCTTCATCGCAGTCCTGGGACTCTTATCTCTAAGGAACAGAGCCATGATAAGTGCACAGGAGAGCCCAGTGCAAGACAGGCTGTGATACGAAGGCTGACTGCCCACTGCTATGGCCATGTGCAATAGGGACTACTGGTCTCAGGCTGGACGAGAGTAGGAATTGACTCATCCAGATGGGACAGAAAGCATGTCCAAGCGAGGTGTACTTCCCACCAAACCAAGCTAGGAAAGACAGGTAGTTGTTCTAAGGGACATGCAATAGACTCCATTTAATTTTCCTCTTGCTTGCTATTTTTAAAGATTTGCACAAAAGAGACACATTCACCTTTTGAGCATTCATCTGCTTCCCAACTCTTTTTCCTCTTTATTTCTGTGAAAATGGTTCTGACCTTGCTCTCATGAGCTCAAGAACATGTTTTCATGTTGGAAGAAAACCTGTCTCAATAGTTAAGTGTCTATTAACAAAGATCCTATTTCTAAATAACAAATGAGGAATTTCCTTGGAGTCCAGATGATAATGTTGAGCTGTCCAGACACCTGAGGTATAACACATCCCCGAGAACCTCTCCTGTGGAGTGTCACATTTCATTCTGAGCAAAAACAGGGATTTTCTGAGATAAAGGGTTAAAGTAACAAAAGGCCCCCTCGAGAGCCATTCACTGCCATCCAGAGCTAAGTGAAGATAAGACATTCACTTTTCTGATCTATATCCATCCTGAGAAAATGAGAAAATAATTTTCTATTTTGTTTGAAATATTCAATTGTTTCTAGGAACAAAAATAACCAAAAGCGTATGCCTTATGCAAAAAAAAAAAAAAAAACTCAAATTCTGTCTCAGACTGTTCACTTGAAATGAACATTCAGAGTAATCTGGATATGAATGTTCTCATTAGACTTCTGTTTCATCTGCCCTTTTTACTAAAAGGACGTGATTGTACAAAGTCCTACTTTTGAAAGGCTCAGTGCCCTATCAGTAGGGAGGCATCTATTTTACCCCAAAAACAGAAATAATGACAATTACCCTCCCTGGGCAGATAAGTGCCGGAAGTCAGCTGGCAGATGCTGCATCATGTGGCTGTATAGGTGCAAAACTTCCCTGGCACACCAAGAACATGGAATACGCCCTTAGGAGGTAAAGCTCAAAACATCCTGTGAGCACAGATGATATCTGAAAAAATTTACCCAAGTCACATAGAATAAATAGTGAAATATCCCATCTCTCCAACTGAGGTTCTTCTGTCACTCAGAAGGGAATTACACTAACAAAATTCCTGCATGATTTTATTTCCCTTTCATGAATACTTATCTGACACATGGTCATGAAGGGTGCTGGGGAGGAGCCTGAGCTTCGAGTTCATTCTTGATGGAACAGCAGAAACCTGCTTTGGCACAGGGGTCTGCTTTGGTTGTTAAAGGTCTCCCCTGCTTCTTTCCTCCATTCAAATTCTCTAAATCATCTTGCAATTATACACATAAATCCTGTCCCCACAAATTTCCAACCCATTGCTTTCATCCTGTCTCGCCACCCCTCCCCACAACCCTTTCCTGGCATGCTCACCTCCTTCTGGAAAGGAAGGTGTTTAATGAGCTCTGAGAAAGCTGATCTGGATGGAGCGTGGCATGTGGGAGACCAGCTCACTGTGCCCCTGCAGTGGACAGGTCCAGGTGTGTCCCCTGAGTGTGGACGCCCTCTGACCAGCCAGCCAAGTGCAGAGCCTGCCACTTACCTTAAGCTGCTTGGTCTTCTCCCGCAGGGTGTGCCGGTAGATCTGGAGCTGTTCCGCAGCCTCGGGGCCAGGCTGCCGGGCCAGGATGTGCTTCAGTTCCACGTACAGTTTCTCCTTTTCCTGGTGGAGAGTGTAAACCCAGAGCAGGGATAAACAGCCAGACCAAACAGGGAAAGCGACTTTCCCAGCTCGCCAGGAGGCTTCCAGGCCTAAACTACATTCGGCATGAGTCAAACCAGTCCATATCTAGGGCCCAGGATGTGCTCAGTACTTGGAAACAAATAACAAGACAAATGAATAAGAGAAAGTCCCTCTCAACCTGGGCACAGGATCACACAACTGAGACCATCTCAACAAAGTATTGTAACCAATGAAAGCCAGCAGTGACTATGACTGCGGAGGTGGGGGGGGGTTGTAAAACTGTCATTTGAGTATCCCCTCTAAACACGAGTGTCCCCTCTAAACTTGAGTGTCCCCCAAGCTAAGAGAGAGAAGAAAAATTTAGGCCAAAGTCCTATGATAGGACAGGGGCACAGTAGATCCAGCTCAGGCAAGAACACAGGGCAGGAGCTGGGGAGAAGTGGAGAAGAGCCCAGCATGGGGGTGAGAGCAGCTGTGTTTGGGACCACATCCTGCAGGCTACCGGAAGCCAACCTGAGCTGTGCCTGCATTTGTCTTTGGGAGAATAAGTCCAGCGGCAAAGCAGAGGGCGGGAGAATGTCAGGGGCCCCAGAACGAACAGAGGATCAAGAGAGCTGTACATCACGTGCCTAGGAAGGAAGGGAATCAGATCAGAAGACACTGCCGAGGTAGAATCCCAGGGACGCGGTCAATGATCAGACAAGTGAGGAAGGACGGGACAGGGACCAAAATGACCCCAAAGTCTCTAAGTGGGCCCCTGGGGTGAGGGAGGGGAGAGGTGATGGGGACAGATGCAGTGAGACTAGATGAGGAGCAGAAGTCCTTCAGAGAGAGGTGCCTGCCAATCAGAGGGTGAAGTCACGCGGAGCCCTCTGGGTATCTGGGAGAGGAGCTAAAATGCCACCCGTTACTGAGCAGCAACGGGCTAGCTGGGTCACAACAGCTGGGTCTTTGAGAGAACAAGAATAAAAGGGGCAGGTAAAGGAAAGAGACCAGAGAAAGAAAATGAGGGAGAGCAGTGAACATCCCCCCAAACCAAGAAAAGGCAGATGATTAAAAAGGAGGAATCACTTGAGTGGTCAGTGGCCTCAAGTGAGGGACAGAGAAGCAGCAGCAGGACTGCCCACAGCCTTTGACGTGGTCATCAGGACGTCATGGCTGACCTCACTCAGAAAGGCTGCAGGAACATCTGGGGAGCAAAAACCACAGGTTGAAGAAAGTGAGTCTTTTAAGAAACACGCGGATGTGGGAAGAAAAGAGATCTGGACACGGTTTGAAGGAAGAATTGGGTAAAAACCGGGAAAACGAGGCAAAGTTGGCAAATCTGTGGGACTATAAGAAAGGATTCCCTGGAACCTAAAATCGGATCCGATTTCCATAATGTAACTTAAACAATAAGCAATACAGAATTCTCTTTTGTATTCTAGAGTCTTCGGGTATCACATACAAGCAGATGTTTTCCTAATGCAGCTCGATTCCATGTTCCTAAATCTCTAAACATTCATAAGACTCGTGTGGCTACTCATTACTCTTTGTACATACTTACTTCCTTAAGATAATTACATTTTTTTAAAAAGAAAATCTATAAATGTAAGCCCTCTTGTTAAATGAAACATCCAGTCAGATGGAAACTAATTTCTACCTGGAGCTAAGTAATCTTGGCATTGTCATCAAATAATCTTTTCTTTTTTTTTTTTTGCCATGGCACTTAAAAACCATTTTTTAAAAATAGGTAAAATTCATTAACGAGGCACTGTTACCATTTGTTTCAGTTTTTCCTCTTCCTCAGCCAAATTACAGAAACTTAATTATAAAGACAGCTCTACCTACAGAAGAGTGTTTGCAACTTAAAATGAGTTGGATAGAATAAGCTTCTAGAGAAACATATCTTTAAAAAAAAAAAATAGTACTTGCCATTTAAGACATAATTCCGCAAAAGGCGAGGAACCCCAAAAGCCTGTGCTTGAAGAAAAACCTGAACAAATAGAATTAGAAAGTGGTGGTTTTCCTTTGCTGTATGACACCTCTGTCACACCTCACAAAATCATCTTCACAGTAAGTGGGTATAGCAAGCAATGAGAAAGATATCAGGAGGTGAGTTTATTTTCTATAGCCACTTAACGCCTGCTCTGTTGAAAAAAAATAACACTCTGACAAGGCCTCAAGATTCAATTTGGAGAGGGTAATGCGTATGTGGAGAAGCCGGCGAAACTGTTTTGTCCAGTTCTTTGAGCCTGCCTGTCCTTATTCCAGAGTACAGAGAGACTTGAAAAGCAAAGCACCTCACAATGACAAAGAGGAAACAATCTAGTTTGGGATATGATAATGTCTTAAGCTGGAAAAAAAAAAAATATCTTCCCATGAAATGTTTCTCTTGTGTGACTCCTTTCAATTACCTGGGAGGTAGGGAGCAGAGAGACATAGGGAAGAAAGTTTGGAGGAAGAGACTATGGTTGCCTCACTTCCTCGGTGAGCCTTCCGGTGTCAGCGGGAATTAAAGGTGCATCCAAGGTCTCTCGACCTGGATATAGCCTTGGCTGGGGTATAGCCAAGAATCACTTTTCTCCTACAACACTTCCTCTGGGGTTTGAAGGTATGCAGTCACCTTGAAAATCTGGATCCAGTGGAGCTACAAAATTCCTGGAGACAACAGATAACATCACAAGAAGACCTGAACCAGAGGTGCCATCAGTTCAAAGCCAGCGAAGGGTAGAGGAAGAAAAAGATGACCAGCTCCTCTCCTGACCACCTGAACCAGCCCTGCCCATGTCTTCTAACAAGAAATGCAGTCTTGACACACAGCGAACGATGCTGTCCTTCACGCTCCTGTCTTATTTCAACACTTCCATCCCCACCCCCACCAAATGTACTGAAACGGATTTATTCTAAAGAATAACTGAGCAACCAACCCAACAGTGAGGGCCCACAATTATGGAGAAAAGTGAAGAAACTGAATGACCATTAAAACTGAGTATTCAAAGGGTGCTGAGAGCTAAATAACCCAGGACAGATGTTGTCCATGTGTCCACGGTTGGAAAAAGAGAATGCCAGGCAAAGCTTCAGGGGCTAAGATGTGGGAGACAGGAAAAGTTGTGGCAATGGTGGGCAGAGGCCAGAGTGCTCAGCAGGCTTTAGTGTGGGTGGATTTGGGTCTATGATTGCAGTGGAAACCCTAACTGATAAAACCAAAGTGAAGTCTGGTCAGCATTAACATTCTAACCACGTGTCTCATACAAATTTTTATTTTGGGAGAACGTGCTAGTAATTTAGATAAATATGGAGAGCTTGATGGATTGAAGGTCTTAAGTACGATTGTCTTCCAATTTATTTCTCTCCTAACCCTCTACAAGGGCCAACCAAGCTCTTCAAACATTGTGCAATGGTGTGTATAATAACCCCATTTAGAGACAAAGCATGCAATTCTATTATAAAGAGAATCTATCTTATACAACAGAGACTCATTAGCTGTCCAATGTATATTGTCTCCATAAGCCAGCAGTGGCAGAACCAGCTGCCTCATAATACATATCCTGTCCTTCTTCATTAAGCCACATCCATTTCTCTTTAAACCCAGTCAATTAATTTGTCACTTGGTTAGAAGCACCATATGTCAATGAAACATCATAAGAAAATCATAAATAGTTTATTTCCTCACCAACAAAAGATTGCATCTTCAGGTTGGCATTTATTTATTCAGAGTTTGTTCATAATGCACGACCATGTTACTTAGTAGCATGCTTTGCTATTTTATGAATAGCTATGCTGGAATAAAGCTAGACTATTAACACCAAGAGACTAGTTTTCTCTTTGGCTGAGCATGTGAGCATTGACCATAGTGTGTCCATCCTTGAAGCAATGTTCTCTAACTAGACTTTTCATTCTTTCCATTGGACAGACTGTCAGACACGATTATGGATTCTTTAGCTGCTAGACAGTCTTCCAAGGTACGCTGCATAATGGCACATCTTGTTGTAAGTCTGAGCTTGGTACAATGGTAAGAAATTAATTCTAGTATTACTCTCAAATAATGCTTGGTGACAGTCTACAATTCCAAAAGGAAATTTCAGATGCAAACTCATTCAGACTTTAGGTATTTGTATTTTACCTGACAAATTAAAAGTCTACACTGTAGGGCTGGGGATGTGGCTCAAGCGGTAGCGCGCTCGCCTGACAT